TCCCTGAAATCTTGTTGCTCGTGCATGTGAAGGATGAACCCTAATTTTTATTATGTCTCCACTGACAATTGTGGATTAGTGGCTTTGTAAATACTAACTATTTATGTTTTTCTTTCAGGGTAATATGAAATAAGTTTTGCGTATTGATTTTAAAGTTTATTCAGGTAACTAAGTCTTTGAGTTAGTGTCAACGCACCACGATCTTAATAGCGAGAAAATAGTAGAAATTGTAGTGGATGCTAAATGTTTGAATTTGACCCCGCCTGTAGCACTTCTAGAGTTACTGCCGGTCCCAAGCCCGGGTAAAGGAGGAGGGTTGGGCATAGGGTTAGCGACCCCATTCCGTAGAAAACTAACTCGCTAAAAAACTCTAACAAGAAAATATAATTCAAACCATTTAAAGTCTGCCCCGGGAGTTAGAAGGTCTTCATTTAGAAGAACTATGATGCCTCATGGTGAAAGCCGAGTTCCTTCAGAAGCCACGCAGCCGATGCCCCTTCTAACAACCACAGCAACAATTTTTATAGGTACATGGAACGTCCGAACAATGTGAGAGACCGGGAAGACCAGTCAAATAGCAACGGAAATGAGGAGATACAACTTGGCAGTACTGGGAATCAGCGAAACCCACTGGACCCAAGCTGGACAGAAAAGGCTAGCTACGGGAGAGATGCTGCTATACTCCGGTCACGAAGAGGAAAATGCTCCACACACTCAGGGAGTCGCTCTAATGCTGTCCAAAGTGGCACGAAATGCACTTGTAGGATGGGAATCTCACGGATCCAGAATCATCAAAGCATCATTCAAAACAAAGAAGGAGGGGATCATAATTAATATTATCCAATGTTATGCATCCACCAATGATAGCAACGACGACATTAAAGATCAGTTCTACGAGCGGCTGCAATCAATCATAGAGAAGTGCCCAAGAAAGGACCTCACCATTCTGATGGGAGATCTAAATGCCAAACTTGGAATAGACAACACTGGATATGAAGATATTATGGGACAACATGGATTGACTGGGAGAGAAAAACAAAAATGGAGAAAGATTTGCAAATCTATGTGCATTCAACAAATAGGTCATAGGAGGCACAATATTTCCACACAAACGTATACACAAAGCTACAATGATCTCACCGGACTACACCACAGAGAACCAGATAGATCATATTTGCATCAATAAAAAGTTCCGAAGGACAATGGAAGATGTGAGAAGCAGGAGAGGAGCTGACATAGCTTCAGATCACCACCTAGTTGTAGCCAATTTAAAACTGAAGCTAAAAAAGAACTGGACATCTGAACAAACAGCAATACAAAGGTTCAATACAGCCTTCCTTCGAGATACTGACAAACTCAATGAATTCAAGATAGCTCTCAACAACAGGTTCTAAGCCTTACAAGATCTACTGAAGGAAGAAGAATCTACTATGGAGGACAACTGGAAAGGTATCAAAGAAGCATCAACTTCAACGTGTCAAGAGGTTCTGGGCCTCAAGAAGCATCATCATAAGGAATGGATATCTATAGAAACACTGGACAAGATCAAGCAAAGGAAGAACGAGAAGACAGCAATTAACAACAGCCGAACACGAGCAGAGAAAGTCCAAGCACAAGCTGAGTACATAGAAGCAAACGAGCAAGTGAAGAAGAGCATTAGAGCTGACAAGAAGACGGCGGAAAAAGCTGCTAGAGAAGGAAATATGAAACAGCTTTACGATACAACGAATAAACTAGCAGGGAAATATAGTAAACCAGAGAGACCGGTCTAGGACAAAGAAAATGAGCCAATCACTGAAATTCAACAACGGCGAAACAGATGGGTAGAGTACTTCAAGGAACTCCTGAATAGGCTGGCTCCAATGAATCCATCGGACATCGAAGCAGCACACATAGATCTTCCTATAGATGTCAACCCACCAACGACGGAAGAAATTAGAATGGCCGTCAGACAAATCAAGAACGGGAAAGCAGCAGGACCCGACAACATACCAGCTGAAGCACTGAAATCAGACATCGAAGCAACCACAAGCATGCTTTATCTTCTATTCAAAAAGATTTGGGAGGAGGAACAAGTGCCGATGGACTGGAAAGAAGGACACCTCGTCAAGATTCCAAAGAAAGGAGATCTGAGCAAATGTGAAAACTACAGAGGCATTACACTACTGTCAATACCAGGGAAAGTCTTTAACAGAGTGTTGCTGAACCGGATGAAAGACTCAGTAGACGCCCAACTTCGAGATCAACAAGCTGGATTCCGTAAGGATCGGTCGTGCACAGACCAAATTGCAACACTACGGATCATCGTCGAACAATCAGTTGAGTGGAACTCGCCACTATACATCAACTTCATTGATTATGAAAAGGCATTTGACAGTGTAGATAGGAGAACGTTATGGAAACTTCTTCGACACTATGGAGTTCCTGAGAAGATTGTCAATATTATCCGGAACTCATACGATTGACTACAGTGCGAAGTCGTGCATGGAGGACAGCTAACAGATACATACCAAGTAAGGACCGGAGTCAGACTAGGTTGTTTACTCCACCCCTTCATCTCTCTTCTGGTGGTCGACTGAATTATAAAGACGTCGACATCTGAGGAAAAACACGGCATACAATGGACAGCTCAGGACTTCTCAGATGACCTAGTCCTCCTACCGCATACACATGAACAAATGCAGATAAAAACAGCCAGTGTAACAGCAGTCTCTGTATCAGTAGGCCTCAACATACACAAAGGGAAAACCAAGGTCCTCAAATACAACACGGAGAACAGCAATCCAATCACTCTTAATGGCGAAACTATGGAAGATGTGGGATCTTTCACATACCTGGGAAGCATCATCGATGAACGAGGAGGTCCTGATGCAGACGTAAAGACGAGGGTTGACAAAGCAAGGGCCGGATTCCTATAATTGAAGAACATATAGAACTCAAAACAACTTTCAACCAATATCAAAGTGAGAATCTTCATTACGAACGTCACAGCAGTTCTACTGTATGGAGCTGAAACTTGGAGAACTACAACAACCACAATCAAGAAAGTACAAGTATTTATAAATAACTGTCTACGCAAGATACTCAACATCTATTGGCCGGATACCATCAGCAATAGCCTTCTCTGGGAGGGAACAAACCAGCTTCCAGTTGAAGAGGAAATTAGGGAAAGACGATGGAGTTGGTGGATAGGACATACATTACACAAATCATCAAACTGCATCACGAGGCAAGCCGTCACTTGGAATCCTGAAGGGAAGCTGAAAAGAGGAAGATCAAAGAACACATTTGTGGTGTTTGAATGAACTGATGATTTCTTTGTACTTTTTGAATGCTTGATTTCTAATTCTAAATACAATACATTCGTTCGTGTTTGTCTAGTACTTCTTGATTCAGTTGCGTTATTTCTGGGACTCTTAGTTCGTAATATAATTCAAATACTTCGAAACATTATACACATTACATCGTGAAATCGAAGCAGGTATGAATAGGACGAATAATGACTGGAAGGATCTGGAAAGGATTGCCCAGGACAGGTTTGGATGGAGAATGCTGATGAGCGGCCTATGCTCATTCACGAGGAGTAACAGGCGTAAGTAAGTAAGTAAGTAAGTAAGTAAGTAAGTAAGTAAGTAAGTAAGTAAGTAAGTAAGTAAGTAAGTAAGTAAGTAAGTAAGTAAGTAAGTAAGTAAGTAAGTAAGTAAGTAAGTAAGTAAGTAAGTAAGTAAGTAAGTAAGTAAGTAAGTAAGTAAGTAAGTAAGTAAGTAAGTAAGTAAGTAAGTAAGTAAGTAAGTAAGTAAGTAAGTAAGTAAGTAAGTAAGTAAGTAAGTAAGTAAGTAAGTAAGTAAGTAAGTAAGTAAGTAAGTAAGTAAGTAAGTAAGTAAGTAAGTAAGTAAGTAAGTAAGTAAGTAAGTAAGTAAGTAAGTAAGTAAGTAAGTAAGTAAGTAAGTAAGTAAGTAAGTAAGTAAGTAAGTAAGTAAGTAAGTAAGTAAGTAAGTAAGTAAGTAAGTAAGTAAGTAAGTAAGTAAGTAAGTAAGTAAGTAAGTAAGTAAGTAAGTAAGTAAGTAAGTAAGTAAGTAAGTAAGTAAGTAAGTAAGTAAGTAAGTAAGTAAGTAAGTAAGTAAGTAAGTAAGTAAGTAAGTAAGTAAGTAAGTAAGTAAGTAAGTAAGTAAGTAAGTAAGTAAGTAAGTAAGTAAATGTTTGAATTTGAAACATTGAGAAATTCTTTCCTCCTGAGTACAGGTGAGCTATATGCATTCTTTCTTAAATTGTATTTTGAAGGATCATAGTAAATTTAAAAACATCACTATAAGTCTATATCCAACAACCACTTGTTGCCAGTATTAAGAATTAATGATTCATATACTGCTATTCTATAAAAGTGTTTTCGTTAAACTTTCCAGATTTAATATAGGGAACTTAGCGAAAGGCAGATAGCTGATTCTTAAAAAGTTGAGGCCATGTAATCACTATGGCTTAATCGTGTAAATTAATTACCGGTAAGTCTCATAGAGTGCATATTTGTAATCTTTCGAATTCCATGACTGCAGTAATAACATTTTCTTAAAGTGATCTAAATCGAATAAACTATCAGAATACTATAGAATCTAGTAACATCTCCCAAACATCACTTATTAAATCCATTATGTTGCTTGAACCTTAGAAAAAGCTTTTTTTTTGGGAGATTGATAGAAGTGACATAAGCATTCCAATAGTTAATCAATCAAATAATATTAATATATATTGTTAACATTTTGTTGATCAATATATTTAAGTCACTTGTTTGTAGCCAATACTCAAAACTTATTTCCATGACAATAATAATTAATATTAGGTTGGACTAATTTCCTTGAAACATTCATATATTATTTAGCAAAACGATAGAATTTCAGTAATTAGTCCTACATATTATCAAAGATTCTTCTTATTTCTTTCTTTAGACAATACAATATTGAAAAAAAAAAAATCAAATAAACCGAATAAGTAACAACAAATAAGTCAATAATAATAATAATAATAGTAATAATAATTACTAAGAATTATGTTGCATGTTATTCAATCCTACTTCTAGTAACTAATTTGTTAACGAAATAGAAGCCAAAACACATTGATTTGTTTTGAAAACAAAAAAAAACAAACAAAGAACACAAACCAAATTGTGAAAAGTATTACAAACTGAAAATCTCCATGGAAATTGTGTTATTTAATAAGAAGAAAGAGAATCATATGAAGTGAATGTTTGAATTGTGAATTAGATCTGAAATCTGAAGATCATAAACAGTGTTAGTATTATAATTTTGTAACTTACAAAGATATTTGATTAAGTTGATTTTAATATTTTTTTTTTTTTTGCATTATAGAATGAGTTAGTATTAAATGTACACTATCATGTTGTAAAATGTTAGTAAGTTTCTAATTCATTTAATTCTGAAATAGTTGCTTCTGACAATGAATAAGATGAAAGAGCTTCTGACATATCATGCATTTCTTGTTCAACACCATATAATTCTCTTAGATGTACACCTTTAATTGGTCTCTCGGTACGTGCTGTAAATGTTTCATCTTTAGGTTGATTAGAATATGACTGACGACTTTTAAAACTTTCACCACTTAATTTATTAGTATCATATGCTTTTCTAGTTGTTTGAAGTAAATAAAAACGTGCAGCTGCTTCAGCAGCTTCTCGTTTTTCTGATTCATTACCTGAATGATTTACTGATGCAACAGCTTCTAATTTCTTACGAATAGACGGTGGCATTAAAAGACTGCGTAAACCTCTCAATCTATTCTCATCACCAATTTCTGTTGCTGACTTTGGTGGTGTTTCGTCAATTTCTTCATCACCTTGAGTTTTGCTTTCTTTTCTTGACAATTTATCTTGGTTTAATTCTTGTTTACGTTTAACTTCATGATCCATCATTTTTTGTATTTGTTGCCGGTGGATATTCATAACGGAAAATTCTATAAAAGATAAAGAGGACAAGAAAGACTTAGTTTAAGTTTAGCAATATTTTTATTGGCAGTATCTATGTATGATGTAATTAGGTAGAAAGTGATTCTGTGTCCAATATTCGTTTAGTTTATTTATGTCTTGTTAAAGATTTCTGACGGTCACTGAATACACTATGGTTTTATTTGATAACATTATTAAAGAACAAAAGAGGACCGTTAGCCTTTAGTAGTAAGATTAATGCAGCAAAATGATGATACTATTGGCCCATTATTTTGATGCCAATTAGATTGGACGATAATGTTGTCGACGGGTTCACCACTTTAATGGCCCGAAATATGACTCCAGTAATATCGTATGATTGATTGTTATTGAAATATGCATGTCGCCAATCCGCGTATATAATAACGAGATTAAATAGGTCAACTACGAGAATGATGTTTGAATACATATATTTTGTACACTCATTGCTCTGGGAAGACAGCCTGAGGAACGAAACGAAGGAGGCGAAGAGAAATGACACTCAGTGGAGAAGGCACGTGAACAAACTCGATTTAACCGAGCGTGAATAGATATTTATACGCACACAAAAATAAGTTATCGACATGTAGTGAATAGGATATGAAGTACACATATACGCTCATATAAAAACAGTCAGGGTTGATAGGCGAATAATTGATAAGGTTAAAATGTGATTTAAGAAGAATGAATGAACTGGTCTGTCTGAAAGCTAGAAAAAGCTATGTGGGCTTAACATAGCAACCAACACTACAAAAATATATATGCGTTGTCGCTAATTTTTTGTTAGTTTTTTTATTAGTTACCACCTTACCACTAGAAGAAACTATACAAATTCTATGCCAACACGTTGACTTAGTTTTTTTATGAAGGATGAATTCAAACAGCAATCACTTATGTGTACTAAATATATTTCATTTCACTTCAATTGTGTCTTATGTTGTTGAATGGAATGACTATAAGTATATTAATCCTTGCAGATACCTTTATAGGAATACTAGAACAGGCAGTGGTGAAGATGGTAATCAACGATACAGTGTACATCAGATACGTTGATGATACATTTATTACTCGTAATAATTATCAACATTTTGCAAATTTACTGAAACTCCTCTATGTCTTCAATTTACTATGGAACCTGAATATGGCAACATTTTTCGTTTTCTAGACCTCGGTGTAAGGACAATACAAACGAGAGATTGGAAAGATAAGTTTATCGGAAGGATGCATGAAGTGAAATGTAGTTAAATTTCAATAGCTTCTGACCATAAAGCTGCAAAATAGCTTTGATCAGAACACCTTCCAACAGTGTACAGAGATTATGTTCAAGATATAAAATTGAGAGCATTATTCACATAATAACGATCACATTCGGAAATCTATAACTGTGAGAAGATTAGAACAAAACGAATGGAGTATTCTAAGGTTGAGAAAAGGCCAGTTTTACTAAGAGTTGAATTCAGAGATGATGAAATAGACTGGAAGATTTATTTTAAATTGAATACCATACCAAATAGGACATATTAAGCAGCCAAGTCAATTTCTCTGTACCACAAAGTTGCTCATTGGGATAGCCAAATTTAGACAACTTCGAGCCTTGTGTACCTCCGATTAAGTCTACCAGTTTACGTGCATATAACAGTAAAATGGGTCAGTGTTTGCATCCCTGAGCACATTTCCCAGAAACAAACCAAAATTACAATGTGCTTTTCGAATCGCAATTGCCTCTACCGAGGACATGATGTTGATGTCTTAGTCTTTCAAAATAGTCAATAAACAAAGGACATCAAACTTACTAAGCTCTGCTGATACAGTCGTGATAAAACGATTTATGTCAAGTTTGTCCATCCAAAATGATGTAGCTATCAATCATTCTTTGTCTTGAAGACATTAATTTCCAGTTTCTGTTAATTTCATATTTCTTGCATCTTACCTGAGCTTTACTCAAGTAGTCAGTTTATTTTTTCTTAAGTATTACATAAACAATGGCATTAATCTATTTCTAAATTTTATTTTCCATGTTACTCTCAGTTTTCTATGCTAAAATATTTGTACATTCAACTTATAAATCGGTAACCATCGAAACGAATATTTAATTCCTGTACAATTAGCGTCTTTTATATACCTACATCTACGTATCAGATCCAATTTTGATCAAGACTTTTCTCACTTATAATATGCATATCGTGTTGTTATTTAAATAATTAATGTCAATGTTTCTATATTGTAACCAACCGAAAGAAATCCTTCCAATAAATTTTACGATCGTTTTTACTTTATTCAGGTGTCGAATCATTCGTAGAATATCAAGACGTTCGTATTGCTACTTACTGGAACAATATAACTTATATTGAACACATTATATGGATCTTCTACACACAAAAAGCAGTCAATATGTAGTGCAAAATTCATCATATGATAATGCGTACTTATTAGTGTAAACTTCACTATCAACGAATGTAGTTATTTATCCCTTGACTACTAGATTCTAGGTATTATTGCTCAGGAAGTATTATTTTTTGTAAGACAAGAAAATCAATGAAAACATTATATTACAGGTTCCACTTAGTAATAACTACTTTATTCACTCCATTGTGTGTAGTTTTAAAGATAGTTCATATTTATTTGTACTGAAGTCCAGCGTTTACATTTTTATACCCATATATGTAATTTTAACAGTTTACAATAGGTTATTGAAATGTAAATGGAATAAAGAGACTTGTCCAAGTTATTTTCAATTAAAAGTACATTTTTACTATATGAGTATCCGTTCTATCATTATTAATTCAAGTTATTCGTTATGATCTAGATCACGTTTTAATGAATGAAAAACAGTAAACAGATCATAACATAAACGATTTATTCACTTGATATTGTTTTTACTTGAATCTTCCCATTGATGTTTTAGGACTGAAATTGATCAGTCTCTTATTGGCATATGTGCATACTGTGCGTATGCCTCGATATTCCCTTAATTTACAAGCACTGCTAGCCACTATCCCTCTTTGCTTATAATGCTTGTAAATTAAGGCAATATCGAGGCATACGCACAGTATGCACATATGCCAATAAGAGACTGATCAATTTCAGTCCTAAAACATCAATGGGAAGATTCAAGTAAAAACAATATCAAGTGAATTAAACTTCAACCCATTGCACAAGCAGGTGGCTATCACGACTCAGTAGCTAAGTGGATAACGCGATGGCGTTTGAGGCGAACGGCACTGGGTTCGAGTCCCGGAGTGGACATTAACTCTGAGATGAAGGCGCATCCAGCTGACGAGTCCCGAACAGGGCGAAACGCGCGTCCTAGATTTCACTGCTAGCCATTATCCATCTTTGCTTATAAACGATTTATAGTAAATTTACTTACCATCTTATATGCAAACAAAATAAACGTATTTAAAATTGAAACAATCAGATTTACTGTTAATAAGATGGAATCATTGACTACATACTAAATAACCTGTGAGATAATATCTTTTAGATATACATTATGTTTCTGTTACGTCCCGACGAAAATTATGGATGGTAACTCTTGAGAACTATTTATGGACCAATACGATATATATATTTTTACTGAATTGTTGTTAAGTAGCTTAACTATGCATATTCATGTTCCTCTTATTATAAGCTTTATTCTGACCCATTGACTATTATTATACGGTTTACCGTTCTGGAGTCCTACCCAGTCTATTAATTACAGTCTCCCACATTCACAGCCACTTCTGGCTAGACTGTGTACAAACGTTATTTTCTATTTTATGGTTTGATGTGGTGTGTTTGGTTTGTATATAAACCCAGTATGTTTGAAATGTATGATTCATATCGCAGAGGCAGATATTGGTGTTCTAGACTTAACAGGCAAGGCTAGGCTGGAAGAAGGACCGATAAAGACTCTAGATTGCTTGTACGGGTTTTATGCGTCATTAGTCCGGTCAATAAATCAATGTTCTCTAGATGGTGATATCATTACATTATGCATTAATAGGGCACAAGGCCACAAGTTATAATAGTTCCTTGTATACTCACTCAATAGATAAGTTATAATGAAACAACCTATTTAACAATGTAATGGTGAATTTCTTTTTCTTCTTATTAAATCCTATAGAATTAATTATGAGTTAACTGTATTTTCATCTTATATCCATTACTGTAAATCAAATGAAAATTATAAATCATTTCATACCACCAGATTTTAATTCTTCTTCTTTCTGTTTCTGTAACTTGAACAAGTACCGACGCATTACATCAGCACGTATAGTATCAGTATGAAGCTGAAATATAATTCCATGAAAACATTATGATATGAAATAAAGTAACTGTATAAAATTAAAGTTGGACATTGATTAAGAAAATAGAAAAAAAATTTTTGTTTTAAAATCGATTATTATCCAAAACATTTAGACTTATGAATGAATCATAGAAATAATACGTTGGTGATGGAGTTTTGTTCTCTGAGCTGGATGGTTTGGTCGCGGGGCTTTCATCGTTCTTCTGAACGACATCATCAGTACAAACTTCAGATAGAAGTCTGAAGTTCGCGCCAATGATATCGTTTGGAAGAACGATGAAAGCTTCACAACCAAACCATACAGCTCAGAGAACAAAACTCCATCAAATTCATCCACCTCAGCTACAAATCTTCTCCACCATCTCATAAAGATAATGTGTTTTGATTTAATCTTTATAGTTTAAAAAAAAACTAACCACATTGATATTATCTCGTAAAAGCTAAAATCGACAATCTTATCAGCAGAGTTTATCACAGTCAATATTTATGAAATATTAAAGTTTCTGTACATTGACTGTTTCAACTGTTTATCTCTTTCGGATTTGGAAGTGGATGGACTATAAAAACTAGTATAATAATAATCCTGTTAGGTTCTTCACATCATTTGAACAACAACACTATTTAGCTGGATTTGTCTCTAACGATGTAGTACAGAGAGATCTAGTGTAACATAGTCCACTATGGTGGATGAAGCCCACAAATATGACAAAAGTTAGGATTTGAAATGAAGTCTTTATTAAAAATCAAACTTGAATATACAGCACTTACCCAGTACACGAAAAATAAATACTCAGAACCGATATATATAAAACACTCAGTATACATGACAACTCCTGAAAATAAGCTCACCCCACTGTTTCGAACTAGGTTATTATTATCACTTTAAATTAGCATACTTTCTTATTATCACTATCGCAAATTCTGGAATTAATATCATTTTATGTAAGAATATCTACGTCCAGTTTTGAAAGGGATAAATATAACTATATAACTTATTGATTCAAAGAAAACTCAACTCAGTAGGTAGTTTTATGATAACTAATACCAACACGGACAGTTATTAGTAGACTTTTTTCTAAAATCACATATTTAAGCTAGGAAATCCCTTACATTTCAACGTAACACATCCTCCTGAAATGTTCAACCATAAAGACTTGAATATTTAATTAAATCACATCTATAGGATGAATTTTGGAAATTAACTCTGTATTCTACAATTTAATTTAGCACACCACTGATGATAGAAACTGGAATTTTGAAATGGATGTAATTCTCTAGTTTTTATTTGTATCCTAATAATGATTGGATCTGAAGATAATTTACATCAAGAATAAGATATAGATTGGAAAGATGTTGAAAACCAAAGAACTTTACAGAGAAACTTCGTCCATTCTTTAAATCGAATTGGTTTCCGTAAATAATTTAACTAAATTATTGATTGATTAGTTAATTTTCCATGTAAATTAGTACCATTTCAATTAAATTGATTTGGTAGCTAATGTAAAGTATAAAAAAGGATTTTGATTTTTCCTGTTTATTGAACAGTGAGTTGTACATTTAATGCCTAAAATAAATCTGGGATGTGCATATTTTTAGTATATGAGATTTATGGAGATTTTAGAGTTTTCAGGAGGCACTGAACGGATGACTCATTCTAGCATGGGACTCCTCAGAAGTGTGTATCTACAATCTTGAGACAATTATCTACTGTAGGCAATATATGAGGGTTGTACAACACCATGAATTGATTAAAGTTAAACATCAACACTATTAGATGTCACCTCTGGGGTTTAGATATTAAACGTTCGTGCATAAGGTCAAAGTTCTTTGGTTCGATCCTCAGAAGCAGAGTCGTTAATACACACAGTTAAGCAGTCCAATACTAAAACAAACCGATCGTTTAGAGATTCCAAGTTTGTAATGTTCGTTTGACTAAGATCAGTTTATGATTTAAACTGTAAAAATATACATATTTGTCAGTTTTTAAAGCTCAGTGGATAAGATTTATCTTTTTAATTTCAGAGTCATTGTTATGAAACTATTTCAATTTGATTAAGTACAAATTAAAATGGTTTTCTAACCGCCATAATCCGGATTCTTTTTTAAAGAAAACTATTTACTAAGAAACATTTATAATCTGAGATTGTGAAAAGTGAATTCTTAAATGTAAAGAATCACATATCTACACAAACACAATTTGTTTTTAGGACATCAGATTATTATTCATTGAAATCCTGTTTTAACTTGTGTGTTTTCCAGTGTTTTTTGATTAACATTTCAGGCACAATAGAATTCAAATGATAATGATCTGTTACTCCAATTACTTCCATGTTTTGTAATAAAAAATTCATTACAACTTGTTAAAACTTTAACTCCATTTGGAGCCCCCCTAAGGTTACTGCCTGTTCTAACCCCGGATAAAGGAGGAGGGTTGAGCATGGGGTTAGCGACGCAATCCTGTAGAAAGCTAACTCGCTAAAAAATGCTAATCAGAAAAAATAATTCAAATCATTTAAACTCTGCCCTGTGAGTTAGAAGATGTTCATTTAGAAGAGTTATGGTGTCTCATGATAAAAACCGAGTTCTTTCGCAAGTTAGGAGGTTGATGTCCCTTCTGACAACCAGAGCAACCATTTATTTAGGTACATGGAATGTTCGTACAATAATAAAACTTTAAACAAAGAAAATTATCTTAATAATTATTATACTGTATATATTCTACAAGTATATGATTATTTTTCAATTATTAATTGTAAGCTCACTTTATAATCGTTAAGAATTTTTTCAGTTTCATTCTCACTTTCTGATCCATCAGATGTCCATTCATTTGAATGTATAGAATTTGTATCTAATAAAGTGCTTACAGTAGTAGTTGTATGAGTTTTACGAATATTTTGATTGAATTGTGTATTCACTGAATGATGTTTAGTTGGTGTAGTTTGACTAAATATAATAGCATTTTCATTTTTTTGTAAATCACAATGATGTTTTGTATAAATTTGTGGTTTCTTCCACTGTATTATACTACAAAATCGTGATAATAATGATGATATAGCTTCTCGTGATGGTAATAAATTTAATGGAACCGGAAGTACACCTTCTTGATCTATATATACTAACCATAAACTTGCTCGTGCAAATTTCCATTCTTCTAAACGGTCACCCTATTTAAATCAATATGAAAAAGGAAGATAAAAATTAAAATAAATTACCAATGTGATTTTACGTTTTTGGTAGGTATAAAAATTACTTTATTCAAAATTATTTACTCAGTACATGTTATTGATCAGATAGGGGTTTTGTAGACATTATAGTAAGTTGATAGTTGAACTCATGAATCAAATGAAGCTAGACCACCATGAGAAACCTGGAAGCACTGGACGGCCATTTGGTCCTAGTGTGTGACTCCTCAGCGGTGCGCATTCATGATCTCTCCTCGTGGGGATCGAAACCAGGACCTAACTGTCTCGCGCGCGAGCGCTTAGCCTCTAGACCACTGAAATAGCATCTGACTACAATCCTCATATGCTCACTAGTGACAATCTGTAGGAGGTATTTCCTGGATTTCTAGTGAGAAGCCATGAACAGTGGAGTTCAACTGGGTCTGTTGTAAGATAGTAACTCATTGATGATAATGGTGGATGGTGGTGCAATTTCATGGATTGGTTGAAGTTCGACATTAACACCGTTGGATACCGGCCCAGTTGCGAAGAGGTGAAGCGCTCGCGCGAGACTGATGGGTCCTCAGTTCGAATCTCACGAGGCGGGATCGTTGATGCGCACTGCTGAGGAATTTCATACTAGGACGAAGCGGTCATCCAGTGCTCTCAAGTTTTCTATGGTGGTATAGCTTCATTTGACTCATGAACTCAACTATTAAATTACATGTTATTGACTTGTTAAAATATCAAATTATTTAACAGTTTCTTAATTTAAGAGTCAACTGCTTGATACAAAATCACGATTGATATGCCAAAAGCGTCTGTTGATTAATTCCAGCATTAAAAAATAAAGTTAACCAAGGTTTCCTTTTACTATTTCATACACTTTAGCCATTGTATATTTTGGATGTTTATTGAAATAGTGTGAGACTATTTGAAGTGTAATACACTTTTAGTGACACAATCGATATTGTAAAAATTCGGAAAGTTTATTCACATATTACAATCCCTGATGGTAACTGTCATTCTTGTCCTAAAGTTAAGCTGTAATCAAATAATTCTATTGCATTTAATAACGTTATTGATATTAATTAGTCGTAGATGGTCAGTAGAAAGTCATGGATTCAGGTTGCATGTGAATCAACACTAATTAGCAAGGTGTATCTGGTATTCTAAAGAAATTCATGTTTCGTATAGTCTTCCAACATACCTTACTCAATGTTACAGTCAAAGATGTTACCACTGTTGTATTCACGTTTCAAATCTAATTAACAGCTTCATGTACTTTATGCAAATTCGAAATAAAAAATTTTATCATTCCAAGCTATTAGTAATAAATATCTGAAAGAAAACTAGATTTTGACTAAATGTCTGCTGAGAAGCTCAAATTCGCATGACATGTAAATTACACACAGATAAACATGGAACAAATAAACTTTTGACTAGCAGATTCACCCAAAGAGTTGAACAAAGCTACAAATACTGCGAAAGATTTGTAACTCAGATAAATGATATGAGTAGGGTCGCATTTTCTGAAATGGATTCAGTTTATCAACTTTTTCTGGCAAGATTAATCACAGAGCAATAAATTAACCTAACAAGATGTTCAATTGGAATAGGACGCAATCCAAAGAAACTTAAAAATAGTTTTTACACAAAGCTAACGAAGTCTGAGATGACAGATGGTCACAAACAAGATCATCAGGATTGTCTGCTTTGGCATGAATGTCATGATTTTAAAGAAGCTCAATTTCATTTCCAAAACCAGTCTACGATTTTCTTTAAAAAAGAGACAAAAGTTTTGTAATTAAACTATCCAGCTCAGAGAACACTACACCACCATAAGCTATAATGATTTAAATGTACGAGAGTGATGCAGTACAGTATTTATAAAATGTAGCTTCGACTATATCGTAATTCATATTAATCTGCATAATATTACTAATATATAAGTAAATGGACCAAACACTTATTAATGAGAGTTAATTAATAAAATTTTAATTACCTGTATCTCATCAAATGATTTACTCATCATAGCGATCAACATATTCAACAAAATGATAATCATGCAAGCATTATATATTGCATATAAAATACTACCAAGACTGTTTACTATATATGGACTACTGTCTACTGCCAAATATTCATGGCCAGGGTACATACTGGCTAGATTTTCATCAATGGTTGTTACATTAGTTGATGATTGTCCAAATAAAGCCCAGTATAATGTATGAAAAGTAGCACCCGTACTAAATTTTTATAAATAACAAAATAAACAACACCTCAAATTAAGCTCTGACAAATTAGTTAGTAGACATGTTCTAAGTTTAAGAAATTTTAAATCGACTAAATAAAAGACTAGACAAACAATCTAGATAAATATACAAAACAATCAACGTAGCAATATTCAACATAGAGCAATACTAAATTAAGCATAATTTGTTGGGAGACAAAGTGTAGTCAAGGAGAACACAGATGAGAACAACCAATATATTCAACACAAAATTACAGTTACTTGGTAAAATAGAAAAACCATACTCAGATACTTCATTTGCAAAATGTTCATTAATTGTCTCAAACTTCATTGTTCCTGCATTTCCATGCCAATTGCTTTCTGTCCCCGTTCTTCCCTTCTCGATCTTCTCAACCTTCTGCTGCCAGATATTCTATTTCTGAATAGCGTTATTTACTAATTTTGTCGACATACGTAGCACACATCCCACTCTTCCCCCATTTTTATGAGCTGTTATCCCAGTCTTTCCGATCGCCATACCGCTGTCTTCTTCGATGCTGTTCGTGAGTCATACTCATAATGATATTGAAACCATCTCTGCAATTGAGTGGCATTTATGCGCTTCTGTTTGTCTTCTCTCCGGATCATGTAAACCAAGCCACGTCTCTCTGTGACAATGTACTGTCCTTCCCACTTCGAGATCAGTTTTCCTGACCCTGGTCTCCCGGCTATGTTATCTTTCCGTTCGTTATACTTTACCAGGTTCCCCAATGTAAAAGGTATCCACATTCTTCTCTGCTGTTCCGCCTTCTTTGTGCCTGATATTTGTTTCTTTTCCACGTTCCTTATTGCTTTACTCATCACTTCCCTCAACCTTGTTGCCGTCCACTTCCGTTGTTGTTGCCAGGATTATTATGCATTGAAAGTCGTGACTGCCTACCATGTATAAGCAGGAAAGGTGACTTCATGGTTGTTCGTTGTATGGAGGAACGATGCGGCAATAAAATCATTGGTAACTTTCAAAACAAGGACCCTGGTCTGTTCATATCATCTTTGGTATTCCGTGACACGCTACAATATGCCGGATTACTACTTCGGTCATTGTTTTTTGCAATGAGTACGGCGTCTACCCAACATGTAGAATGTTCCGTCATCACTGGCAATTACTGGTTACTGCTCTCCGTCTGTAAAAACGGTCCAATCACATCCACGGTTACTGGGACTGACTACAGAATGATGATATTATAATTTATTATTCTTGTATAATAGACATTGAATATAAATGGTGAAAATCTACTATTTATGATGTAACTTGCCTGAGAATTTATAACAAATTATTTCAGTCCATAACTAGATGAACGATTATTTATGAAGTGGGTTTATGTTGTGGAATATGGTGAAGGCACTGTTTATGTTGCTTATATCAATTTGTAATACATTTATTTTACAAAAGACAAAAGAGGTGATAATGTTAGTTACTACTTAAGGAAATAAGGATTTTTCATTCTTCCAAAAAGTATGGCATTTAATATCAGTGTATTTCTTTTTAAATAAGAACATTTAAAAAAATTCATACGGAATTTAATATTTATGGAATTTTCTGGTTACATTGCGACGAATATCTGAATAGATTTATAACAGAATGAGGGTTTGTGGAAATTGTAGTAATTTAATGGTTGAGTTGATTTAAGATAAACCACTCTGGAAAACCTGGAAGCACTGGACGGCCGTTTCGTCCTAGTGTGGAATTCTTCAGTGGTGCGCACCCACTATCCCGCGCGCGGGATTCAGACCCAGGACCTTCGGTCTCGCTCGCGAACACTTAAACTCTAGGCCATTGAAGAGGCATCCAACGATGTTAATATCTAACTTCAACCAATCCATGATATTGCGCGACCGTTCACCATTGTCTTCAGTGAGTAACTACCTCACAACAGACACGGTTGAACTCCATTGGTGACGTTTTTCTTAATCACTTATTTCCTTGATCATCTGAATAATGACAGTAACCATAAAAAGATTTACAAGTTTTTCATTTGTAAAATGGTTTGTAAATAAAGGTGGATGGTGATTAAAAGTGGAGTCAAGGACACACGTCTCATCCTATTTGAGACTCGCAGTTAATGTCCACCCCGGAACTCGAACCCAGTAACGTCCGCTTCAAACCCCACCGCGTTATCCACTTAACTACTGAGTCTTGATAGTCACCTGCTTGTGTGATATTGTGATGGCGTTTGAAGTGAACGGTACTGGGTTCGAGTCCTTGAGTGAACGTCAACTTTGAGATGCAGGTACATCCAGATGACATTTATTTGATATTAAGTGAATTCCAGTGTTTTTGACAAAGTCTATAGAAATTTTTTAACAATGCTTTGATGAAAATGACAATGTCTTAAACATTTACATGGGGAATTATATTACCTACTTACTTCATATATATTCTTCTAACAAAAGGAAATAAAAAGTTGAATAAGACTAGCATTTCAGATACCGGTAATTTAAACATTCGATTATGAATGACAAATAAACAATGATTAAATCGATAACATACCCACTGAGACAAAATTAACCATAACCCATCTTATATAAGCCACTATACAATATATAAGTAGATATACAAACAAATAAGTAGTATTATTCTTTTAATAGTATTGTTCAATAATTAATCATCAAGTTACTTTATTACTTGTAATTTATAAAGATTTTCAACACTTTTTCGTTGAAAATTATATGATCAGAAGGGGTTTTGTGGAGATTTTACAAGTTTCACTGATTGAAATTATGAAATCATGCGCACTGCTGAGGAGTCCCATACTAGAACGAAACGGCCATCCAATGCTTCCAGGTTTTCCATGGTTGTCTAGCTTCAATTGACTCATGATTTCAATCCGTGTAAATTACATGGTAATATTATACTTATTACATAATTATTTTTATCTTAATGAATTTCCCAATTTATATTACATGTATAAACACACGTATTATTATTCTGATTGTCATCACCCTCTAAGGGAAATGTTTCACTGATATATGCAATACAATGCAATGGATTTGTAATTTAACAATTAACGAAGAAAACTAAAACAGCTGGTATCTATAATTCCATAATTGTTATTTTCATTTCATTTAATGATAATAAAAAGATATATCAATATTATCAGTAATAAATTTTAATTTAATAAAATTTTGAGAAAAAAAGACGATTTATATTGAATAATTTCAAGTAATTAATCCTCAGGAAATTTGATAAAATGTGTGTGTGTGTGTGCGTGCGTGAGTGCGCGCGCGAGAGAGAGAGACAGAGAGAACCATACATTTATATTATTTGTCACTATGTGTACAACCATAAAATGGTATTAAAAAGAATTTATAGATTATTTGAGATCAGGAAAGTAAAAATTATACATTTTTATTCCATGTGTTAAATAACATCAATGTCGATATTTCATCATGCTATTAGTCTGATCTGTTTCATTACCATTATTATCATTATTACTATTACTATTATTATTACCATTACTATTATTATTATTATCATTATTATCATTACCATTACTATTATTCTATATTTCAATGTATCGTGTTTAGTTATAATTTCGAAAAAAGTCGTTGTTTGTTTTAATTATATAAGCTAATAAAAATTGATCAAAATAAAAAGAATATTATTATTATTATAGAATTTTAATTTGTGAAATATATTTTTGTTGTTGTCGTTGGAGATTTTATTAAATTGAATGAATGTTATTAATAAATTTCAAGAGAATTTACATTAATTACTTACCTACTTACTTACTTACGCCTGTTACTCCCAATGGAGCATAGGACGCCGACCAGCATTCTCTAACCCACTTTGTACTGGGCCTTCTTTTCTAATTCCATCCAATTTTTGTTCATTCTTCTCATGTCTATCTCCATTTCCCGGCGTAATGTGTTCTTTGGTCTTCCTCTTTTCCTTTGACCTTGAGGATTCCATGTGAGGGCTTGTCTTGTGATGCAGTTGGGTGCATCCCTCAATGTGTGTCCTATCCACTTCCAGCGCTTCTTCCTGATTTCTTCCTCTGCTGACATCTGGTTTGTTCTCTCCCACAGTTGGTTGTTGTTGATAGTGTCTGGCCAACGGATCCGAAGTATTTTGCGTAGACAACTGTTAATAAACACCTGTATTTTCTGGATGATGGCTTTTGTAGTTCTCCAGGTTTCTGCCCCATACAGTAGAACTGTCTTGACATTTGTATTGAAAATCCTGACCTTGGTGTTGGTTGACAGTTGCTTTGAGTTCCAGATGTTCCTCAGTTGTAAATATGCTGCTCTTGCTTTGCCGATCCGTGCCTTCCCATCTGCATCAGATCCACCATGTTCATCAATGATGCTGCCCAAATATGTAAAGGTTTTTACATCTTCCAAATCTTCTCCGTCAATTGTGACTGGATTGGTTCATGCTGTGCTGTATCGGAGAATCTTGCTTTTCCCATTGTGTATATTGAGACCTACTGCTGCTGAGGCTGGTCGTTTTCTCCTACATTTGTTGTTGGGTTTGGGATAGAAGGGCCAGATCATCTGCGAAGCCTAGATCGTCTAACTGCATGCTGGATGTCCACTGTATCCCGTTTTTCACTTCAGATGTTGACGTTTTCATGATCCAGTCGATCACCAGGATAAAGAGGAAGGGTGAGAGTAAACGACCTTGCCGAACACCGGTCTTCACTTTGAACGACTTTGTCAACTGTCCTCCATGCACGATTTTGCAATGTAATCCATCATATGAACTCTGTATGATATTGACTATCTTCTGAGGCACGCCGTAGTGTCGAAGAAGTTTCCATAGGGTTGTTCTGTCCACGCTATCAAATGCCTTTTCGTAGTCAATGAAGTTGATGTAGAGTGATGAATTCCACTCAATTGATTGTTCCACAATTATCCGTAGAGTTGCGATTTGGTCTGTACACGATCTATCCTTACGGAATCCTGCCTGTTGGTCACGAAGTTGGGCGTCTACGCAGTCCTTCATCCTGTTTAACAATACCCTGTTGAAGACTTTTCCCGGTATTGAGAGAAGAGTGATGCCCCTGTAGTTATCACACTTGCTGAGATCGCCTTTCTTTGGTATTTTGATCAGAAGTCCTTCTTTCCGGTCTGTTGGTACTTGTTCCTCATCCCAAATCTTATTGAAGAGAATGTGGAGTATCCTTGCAGTTGCCGCTACGTCTGCTTTTAGTGCCTCTGCTGGAATGTTGTCCGGTCCTGCTGCTTTGCCACTCTTGATTTGTCTGATGGCCATGCTGATTTCTTCAATTGTTGGTGGGCCAACATTGATTGGGAGGTCCGTGGGTGCTGCTTCGATGTTGGGTGGGTTCAGTGGAGCTGGTCGATTCAAGAGTTCTTTGAAGTGTTCTACCCACCTGTTTTGTTGCTCTTCAATGTTGGTGATTACCTCGCCTTCCTTGCTTTTCACTGGTCGTTCTGGTTTGCGGCGATTTCCAGAGAGTTTCTTTGTCGTGTCATACAATTGTCTCATGTTTCCTTCTCTTGCAGCCTTTTCCGCCGTCGTTGCTAAATCTTCCACATATTTACGTTTGTCGGTTCTGATGCTCCTCTTCACTTGTTTGTTTATTTCCGTGTATTCAGCTTGTGCCTTGGCTTTTTCTGCTCTTGTTCGACTGGTATTGATTGCTGCCTTCTTGTTCCTCCTTTCTTGAATCTTATCCAGTGTACCAACAGTGATCCATTCCTTGTGATGGTGCTTCTTGTGACCCAAGATCTCATGATATGTTGAAGTGATTGCCTCTTTGATCCCCTTCTAGTTGCTCTCCACAGTAGTTCCTTCTCCATTGAGTAGAACATGAAAGGCCTGGAACTTATTGCTGAGGACTATCTTGAATTTGTTGAGTTTGTTAGTATCCTGAAGAAAGGTCGAATTGAACTTTTGTGATATTATCCGCCTCATTGTCCAGTGTTTCTTGAGTTTCAATTTCATCTTGGTGACCAGCAAGTGATGATCTGAGGCTATATCAGCTCCTCTCTTGCTTCTCACGTCCTCTATAGTCCTCCTGAACGTTTTGTTGATGCAAATATGGTCGATTTGGTTTTGCGTGGTGTGATCCGGTGAAGTCCATGTGGTTTTGTGAATGCGTTTATGTGGGAATATGGTGCCGCCTATGACCAGTTTATTGAAGGCACATAGGTTTGCAAATCTCTCACCATTTTCGTTCCTTTCTCCCAGTCCGTGTCGTCCCATGATGTCTTCATATCCAGTGTTGTCCGTTCCAACCTTGGCGTTGAAATCTCCCATCAGAATGGTCAGGTCCTTTGTTGGGCACTTCTCGACGATTGACTGCAGCCTATTGTAGAATTGATCTTTAGCGTCTTCATTGTAGTCGTTGGTAGGCGCATAGCATTGGATGATGTTCATTGAAATGCCCTCTTTCTTTGTTTTGAACGAGGCTTTGATGATCCTTGGTCCATGAGATTCCCATCCTATAAGTGCATTTTGTGCTTGTTTGGACAGCATCAATGCAACTCCTTGTGTATGTGGTGCATTTTCTTCTTCATGGCCGGAGTATAACAGGAGCTCTCCTGTAGTTAGTCGTTGTTGTCCAACTTGTGTCCAATGTGTTTCACTGATCCCAAGTACCTCTAGGTTGTATCTTCTCATTTCTGCAGCAATTTGGAAGGCTCTTCCGGTGTCCCACATTGTACGAACATTCCATGTACCTAAATAAATGGTTGCTCTGGTTGTCAGAAGGGGTATCGGCCTCGTAACTTCCGAAGGGATTCGGCTTTCATCATGAGGCGTCATAGTTCTTCTAAATGAAGACCTTCTGACCCCCAGGGCAGAGTTTAAAAGGTTTGAATAATTTTTTCTGGTTAGCGTTTTTTTAGCGAGTTGGTTTTCTACGGGATGGGGACGCTAACTTCATGCCCAACCCTCCTCCTTTATCCGGGCTTGGGACCGGCAGTAGCCCCCGGAGGGACTTCAGGCGGAGAATTTACATACTACTGATAATAAATGAATTTGGATTATCTTGAAGAATTTCCTTGAGAAAGAATTAATTTTAAAATAAAAAGCTTTCACTTGATCTAATCAATAATTTCAACTATAAAAGTATTCAATTATCATGAGTAAGTATTATTATTATTTATAAACAAAATATCGAGGCAATATGCATAATATACACATATCCCAATAAAAGACTGATTAATTACAGTCCTAAATATCAATGGAAAGATTCAAGCAAAAACAATACCAAGTGAATAAAAACTTCAGCCCATTGCACAGCCAAGTGGTTATCAGGACTCAGTAGTTAAGTGGATAATGTGATGACGTTTAAAGGGAACGGTACTGGGTTCGAGTCCCAGAGTGAACATGAACACAGATGTAGGTACATCCAGCTGACCAGTCCTAAATAGGATGAAATGCACGTCCTGGATTCCACTACTAACCACTATCCATCTTTGCTTAAATTAAAGTTTTGTTTTCTTAACAATAACTAGTTACTTATTACAAGAATTCTATGATCTATTAGTTTAAATAAAAGACTTAACTGTTTATCGATTTTCTTAAATTTCTATTTAGACACCATAAACATGATTAATGATAACATTTTTGACTAAGATTATTACTAATTTGTTACAGGTATACCTAAGTTATGAATCTCATCGAGTATGATAGACAGATTAAACTTTTCATGTAATATTATTCATAATTATTTAGGGTTATATTAGATCTACATTGATATTCAAATGTTAAAACTAGGTTTACAAAACTCAGCCGATATTTAGAGTGAATCATTTGTCACAAGACAATTTGTTAGTCTATTACATCAATTTCAGTAATAAGGACGAGAATAGAAATGATTGATTTCCTATGATGATTGATAATTTCATCTTGGATGTTTTTATAATTGTGTAAAATTTATTTTTGAAAATTCCATTCTTCAACCGGATTTCAACAATGTAACGTTTACGTGAAGCTGTCTCGAGATTTCATTATAGAAACTCTGATCAAGTTCTAAACAACAACAACTAAACACAATGAAAAAGACCACTCACCTTTTAAATGATGGTATTCCACTAGCATAACGAATTAATTGTCCTTGAGCATCAACGGATACAATAATGTTTGCAAAGTACCAATAGAGATTAGTTAAACCAACGACAAATGCAATTACCATCTTAAATAAATTAAAATCAAGTAATTCATATGAACATTTGACAATAATTTTCATTATAAACTAACATCAGTTAATAAATCGTTGATTCACCAACTTTTGAGACTATTCAGAAATGTGTAATAACAATCTCACATAGAATTGTCCAGTATAAACACTTAATCTTGTAGTGAACGATAAACAGGATTCCATTAGTGCTGTTTTCAACTTTGGTCAATTCTAGATATTATCCGACTATCTAACAATTACATAGGTAGATAATAGTCTGATTTTGGACTTATTCAAGCTAACATATCACGGATTTCTTCCAAGATTTCTAATAAGTTCATTTCAACTATCTTTCATTTGATCTTTTGTAACATCACAGGAGTACATTGTAAAATAATTGCAAACAAAGAGGAAAAAAGTTCTATGCTTCTTGGTTTTCCATGTATCTCCAGATTCTGCCAGTTTGTGATATGTTCAAAGTGAACAAATCTCCAAAAACTGTACATCTAAATTCACATTGATTGTTGTAGTTTGTGTACTTATATAAAATTACGTGTCTTACGACCATCATTATCTTTAATTCATTTCTTAACACACGTTTGCAACCCAGTAAGTCCTTCGAGTTTTTTGGAATATTGAAACTTTTGTCACCTACTAGTTGATTTTAATTACGTTGATTTCAAATTCTTCGATTATTTTGTTGAAAACATATCTGAAACTTTATATTTAATCTGTTAAGCTATCTACCACGATAGTCAGTTATACAAAGTAGGAAATGAACTAATTTTCCTTGTGTTATATACAGATAAATAAAGACCCTAAATCCAAACACTACTCTGCACTGGTGTTCGTTCCAGAATGTCACGTTGATGGCTCATAATTTCTGCTTAAAATCTGTACAATATGATCAACATGAAAGTCACTGTATGAGCTGATGTGAGCAAAAAGTAATTTTGAATGGATTATAACTCAGTAACTTGATTTTTCGCAGACTTTGCGATCTTATGAAAAGCCATTTAGTGAAAATAACATTGTCCGTTTTACAGAGTTTCTGTACTTTCATCAGTGTGTGTTTGTTATTCACATAAGCGTCTAAATTATATGCATAACATATAGATATATAAAGGATCGATATCTACTTGCGCTTTAAACCGTGGGTGCTCACAAACAAATTGTCATCCCAAGCAAACGAAAAATCACTTACCACAGTAAAGAGCGCCATGAATCGTATGATATCTGATACCATACGAGCCAGAGATATTTGAAGGGGTCCAAGTAATTCCCATGCTGGCATTAGATAACTAATTCTTGAAAATGATAAGACATTACCCAAAGCAAATAGACAATCAGAAATGTACTCTGGGTCGTCTGGAGCCCACCATAACCGACCTACGTTTAAATATAAAAAATAGTTGACTGTTAGAGAAGGAACTTTGATGAATATTAACAGAAAAGCACAGAAATCAACCGAAGTTTAGTTTAGTGCATCAACGTTTCCATTTTTTTATAAATACTAAACGTGAACTGGAATGCTAGAATGAATATAAAAGTGCTGGAAATGTATCTCCTTTAGATTTTTAACGTAAATTCACCGTTACTCCTGTAGTGATAGGTCATATTTCTCTCTGTTTTGTAAAACTGAACGCGAATATGATAAACTCTAGTTTTAAACTTAATATTGGCTACTATGTAGAAAATTTTACCATATTAAACAAGTGAACATACCATTTTCTTACATTTAATCCTACATTAACTCAAACAAGATACTGTCACTGCTCTAAAAATCAAATATCTTTCCTTTAACTTCACAGCTTAAGTGTTAAACTAAATGTATCCTAAGTGTAAATATCATTATTAAAGTAAAATTCGATCAGTGAACTTCAAATATGTGTGATATTATGAAATGCGATATGGTTTTACAGTATAGTCAATTAATAAAAATTAGACATATGAATCAATGAATGCCAGCATTGTGTTCCAAGTGTGGAAAGCTGACTGGGAAACTTGATGGTTCTGAACTAGTATAAGGGTTGTGGAGATTATTAAGTTTTTGATTGAGATCATGAACCGAATGATGTTAGACCATCATTGAAAACCTGGAAGCACTGGACGGCCGTTTCGTCCTATTGTGGGACTCCTCAGCAGTGCGCATCCACGATCCCGCGAACTATTCGACTGACCATTAATTAAGCAAAATATTTTAATTAAAACACTAGTTACTTGTAAGTAGTTAAACCAATTTATTGAAGAATAGAAATATGTAAATAAAACTACACTCATCTCAGTTTCTTACTAGTCAGCATACTGTTAAAAAAGTAAAAAAAATTCAACATTATAAATAGATGTGTGCCTATAAGAGCCAATTCTTCTGATCAATTAAATATAACTATTCAGGCAATAAGATTGGAGATTGGAAGGAGGAATATTTGTTTTTATATACTCATTTATCATAGTTTAATATCAAAACATAAAAGTTATCTCCATCTGAACGGTAATGAATCAACTTGCAGTGCACATTTCGATTTAGTAATATTGATATGTCTAGTGGATTGAATACTACTTGTTATATCTGGTCGTCACTGATTGTTATGTCGGAAACGCTTATCACTTATACTCGGAACGAGTGACCTCTGCAATTCCCACGACGCAAAAGTAAGAACACAAAGACTGGTATAAATGAAGATTTATTAACCCCCAAAAGCAAGACGACGACGACCCTAGTCGAAAATACACTTATTTATATATTGATTGTACACCCATTTTGATCAAATAATTAGGATGAAATCACATATATAAAAAAATTCTTAGAGACATAAAAAATCACAGACTGAGCATAGTTCATGTCAATGGAATACATGAATATCGCATATTCTACAGAATAAAATATCATACGAGAAAACAAAACAAATACAACATTGAGTAATCATTACATTGAATCAAAACGGAAGTAATCTTGAACAAAACTTATAATGAGTAAAATCAATCGAATTTGAACTTTTCTTCCCACCATATCAACTATCTGTAACAATAATGGTGGGTTAACAGCGAGACGCCTAATGTGAATTAATTAGCCAACTTATCATTAGAAGTTTTTGCTTAATTATAACAATAAAACTGAGTGAAAAATCTATATGGAATAAATTAGTTATTGAATACAACTACAATACTTTTGATGGTTTTGATAATAAACTAAACGACATAATGAATTTATTACTAAAACAATATAATAACTTACATCCTCTTAACCAATAAGCAGATTCTGGAATTAATATTTTATTTCGATAATTCACATAATTTTGATGTGTTGTCTGTTCAGTACTAGAACAAAATTTTGAAGTGGAACATGTAGTATTTAACAGAATTGATTGAGCCACTTTAAGTACATCTTGATATTGTCTCATTGATGCTTGAACTTTAAAGTCTACAATAATTCTTAATGAATATGATGCCAAATACAAGGCAATGGATACCCAATCCATAAAATTATAATAACTACGGAAAAAATAACGTAGTCCATAATGATAAACTTGTTTACACTCCATACAAAGTTGACCTATGATTGATTCAATAAAATAAAATACTGAATTACTTTAAATAAATCAGAAAATGAATACTAACAATTATAAAGATGTATAAGCAAAGATGGATCGTGGCTAGCAGTGGAATCCAGTATGTACTCTTCGTCCTTTTTGGGACTCGTCAGCTGGATGTACCTACATCTCAGTGTTCATGTTCACTCTGGGACTCGAACCCAGTATCGTTCCCTTTAAACGTCATCACATTATCCACTTAACTACTGAGTCTTGATAGCCACTTGGTTGTGCAATGGGATGAAGTTATATTCACTTGGCGTTGTTTACTTGTATATTCCCATTGTTATTGCAGTCCTAACACGATGGCGTTTGAAGCGAATGGTATTGGGTTCGAGTCCTTGAGTGAACATCAACTCTGAGATGCAGGTACATCCGACTGACGAGTCCCAAATAGAACGAAACATGCATCTTGGATTTCACTGCTAGCCACTATCTATCTTTGCTTATAAGGCTTGTGACTTCAGGTAATATCAAGTCAGTTCGCACAGAATGCATATATGTAAACAAAGGATTGATTCACTGCAGTTCTAAATAACAATGGGGAGATACAAGTAAGCAACACCAAGTGAATTTTAAAGGATTTTATGGTAATCTGTTAAGCCTTGCCATTATTTGAGTTATGCTAATCTATTAGTATTTGTATTAATTTGGGTAATATTTAGCTTAACAATTATATAATTTAAAATTTATTGATAATATGCAGATTATTTTTATCGAGGTCAGTACACTCTAGTACAATTTTCATCCAATGTAAGTGACTACTGCAAACATTTGAAAGAAATTACAGTTTGAGTCATTAATACATTTTTGCACACTTGATAATCACAGTTTTTCAGACAGAGAAATCTGTGGCTATATAGAATGTTATATTGCTACAACTGAATAACTATACTTTAAGTTGATGATCGTATATCGGTTGTAGGACTTACTCAAGTGTAGATATGCTAGAATTGACATTAGCTAAGTGATTAATTAAAGTACTCACAACATACTGGCTATACTTGTATCTTAGCTATCATGTGAAATAAAAGGTAGAGTGAGATTACTTAACTTTTCCCGACCTATCATTAAACATTCACCATATGCTTTAGATATTTTAGTTACATCAACTTGTTATAAGAGTTCTTCAAAGAAACAATTTATGACTTTATAACCAATTAAACTAAATAACCACAAACCGTTGATTTAATTCACTGTGTACTTGAATTATCTATCAAACAAATGTACTTGTCGTTGTTAGATGATAAATAAATGAATACAAGTAGGCATACATAGCTTATTATCAGAGTTTGCATGACACACTTATGCCAGGAATAACATAAAGTAATACAAATACCTGAACAAACAGGGCAATTTACTGCTTGTTACCATCTAATTATTTAAATACAGGGATTATAACATGGTTAAATATATCCTAACTCGTTCCAATAAAATAAACACTTGTAATCATCTGTAAATTTTTGAGTGATCTTCTATACTATACACACAACTTTGGTATGGTTTTGATTGCTAATTGGTATCTAACAGATACTCAATGTATGACTTAATAATACAAAGAGTTTATTGTTTTAATTGGTATTAAATCAAGTGTCCCTAGGTCGAAAGAAATAAAAACGTAACGTTCCATTAGTCTAGGTTCTGTTTCAATTCCTGTTAACTAATAAATAAGAAAAAAAATCTCAGTATGAGACTCTTCAGTACTGTGCATCTACGATCCTGCACGCGGAACTGCAGACCAGAACCCACAGTCTCGCGAGCTAACGCTTGCCACCTAGACCATTGAGCAGGCACTCAATCGCGTTAGTGTCACGTGTGCAGGATGTGTATGCTCACTGCTGAGAAGTTCCATATTAGGATAAAACAGCCGCTCAGTGGTTCCATGTCTTCAGTTGTGATCTAACATTAATCGGTTCATGATCTCAACGACATTATTTGTTGCCATGCTTTCCTTTTTTCGAATTATATCGATCAATATAGATCATTATAGAATTTAATTATTCAAAGACGTGATCCGTAAGTTTTTTTAAAATTCATATGACCTAATTCTCAGTTGACTGATCATTAGCCCTTAGTTAAAATTCATTTCAAAATCATCCCTAATCTACGTAACTTGACTGCTTTAACAGGTATGATTGAATGATGTTATTCTTAATTAGTTAAATTATAATTATAAAAAAAATCAATCAAATGACTTACTAAGGTTGATCAACTTAGAAATACAGAACATTGAAATCTACCCATAATGTACCTCTCACAGATTATGAACATTCTAAATCTGATTTCATGTAAAATAGTGAGTATGTACTAATGCAAATTCCCCATGTAAAACGAAACAATTTTTTAAAATGCTGTCTGTATTCTTTCTAGTGGTTCTTTATTATTAGTATTATTCTAAATCAGTTTATGATATAAATTAATATCCAAGTGAAGAATCGTCATAAACATTCTGATTTAAAATCAATGAGTTTTTTGTTACTAGGCAAAATTTTTTAAAAAAAGTTTTATGACGGACATAATTATTATTTAATTAGTTATTTTAATGGATAAAATAAATTAATATCAGGTCATTAACTTATTTAATGAATATTTGAAAAAAAGGAAATTAATTTTATGTTTCTATTATTTGACAAATTGGTTAATTCTTTTTAAATATGCTAAAGTGTTATTATTTTTTTGGGGGGATTTTTTAAAATTTGGTTTAATTCTATAATTAATTTAGTATAGTTTATAAGGATAAATAAGAGGTTGAGTGTTCGCGTAAGCGAATGATAGGTTTTGGGTTCGAATCTGGTGGGGTGGAATTGTGGATGCATACTGTTAAGGAGTTTCACAATAGGATGAAACGGTCGTTTAGTGCTTTCAAGTTTTTTATGGTGGTCTAGCTTTCATTGATTTATGAATTCAACGATTGAAATTACTATAATTAGATAAATTAGTCAATATTTAATTGATAATTTTTTGACTTCATGAATTGTTAAGTAGAATTTTTTCCTAAAAAAATCATTTTTCATAAAAAAATAGAAATATTAAACCTTTGAAATTAAATATACTACTTAAATACACTTGGTATTTCACTGGTTGAAATCATGAGTCAGTTGAAGCTAGACCACCATGGAAAACCTGGAAACACTGGACGGCCGTTTCGTCCTAGTATGGAACTCCTCAGAAGTGCGCATCCACGATCCCGCACCTCGCGAAATTCGAACTCAGGGCCTCTTAGTCTTGCTCCAGGCGCTTAACCAACTAGACCACTGAGCCGGCCAGAATCCAACGATGTTAATGTCTAGCTTCAACCAATCCACACTTGGTATTAGTTACCCATATCTTCTCTTCTTAATGTTATTTTGAGCTGTAATTGATCAATCTGTTATTGACATATATGCATATTATAAGGATTGCCTTGATTATTATTTTAAGTCACAAGTTTTATACTGTTCGTTGAACTATGAGTTTTATTTTTTTAAAAGAATTTTTCTTCGTTTACATATGACATAAATTTATTGATTCATTTCTAGTTGATTGATAAAAAAGATTATTATTTGTAAATTATTCTACTTTTAAGGTCATATATCTGTATCATCTTGACTATTTAGAATATACAACTTGTACTCCAGATTCAGCAGGGTGTTATTATAGTTAAACACCTTAAAAGAACCTTTAATGACAGTTGATAAAAGTTGATTAGGAGAAATATTTAAAAATGATGTTTCAAGATAGCTTTTATTCATCATTCAAATGTTATCTAGGAGGCTAACTCTCAGATAATCTGAATTCAGAACATTCTGTCTACTGTCTTCGGCTAACTAACTTAGAAGATTGAATCTCGATTTCCAAATTAGTGTTAACAATTGTAATTTAGTTGGATAGAATTGTTCAGTACCGAGAACTAAACAGCTTATATACAAATTAGCTTTTACACTTTTAAGTTTATTGGAATAGTTTTGAGAAAAATATCAGATGTTTACAAAACTAATTATATTACATATCATAGCATTTATGGATAGGTAACATTTATTTAAAATTGAACCGCCCTGATATTAAAAAGTTACTTACCAAGTATCCAAAATAGTAATATTATTTGAATTTTGGTCATGACCACATGAGATGTTCTAAAGTCATAGCTTAAAATTTCTGTATATCTAACTTCCCAATTGTCTTCACCATCGCTGATTGCTGTACGATCCAAACGAAAAGTGGCCACCGTAATTAATATCAGGAATGTTAAGTATGAAACCATATGACCAAGAAATTTAGTCACAGGACATCGTAGTATTTCTGTTACCTTAAAAGTAAAGTATTCATTGGTAAGAAAAGTGATAGAAAAACATTGAATATTATTGTTGAAGAGTAGTAGAGAAATGATCTTTCGTTTGTAAAGGTTGTATTAATGCTTTAAATTCGATAAACAGCATTTTATTTGTAATACGTTATATGGGCAGGAAACTGAAATAGTTAAATTTTGATTATCCTTTTAGATAAAATCATCATTATCGTTAGTAATCAACAGGGGATTTCTTCTGGGTTGAGATTGCTTAGTAGTGCACCTCGGAGATCATGTGCGGAATCAAATAGAGCATCATGTCGATTACTTTGTATTGAAACTATAGAGTCGAAGTCCGACCATCCATATTTACAACTGCGATCAAAAAGAACTATGACACGGCGATCATTCAATGATAATTATCTTATTGAGACGAGATAGGTGTCCATCCCTTCCATCTTTTCAGTAGTTTACAAGCTGATGTCAGTCTAAGACGTAAACGTTTTTCAAACCAAACGTATTACAGTGAAATCGCTCGACAAAACGTAATTAATTTATGTATTAGAACATGAAATGAAAATAACGATAGCGATCTCCAAGAGAAACGTGAAAATTCAGAAATCATGGTATCACACACATAAATCGTTTTTCACTCATATCAGAAGACACAATCTTTTCTATAGTATCTAAATTACCAGTGAAACTTTTTTATTGTTATAAAGAATCCGTAATTACAAATGTTAAACTCTTATGAAGACGAGATTCAGAAGATGTTACTTTTAACACTTTAAGGAATATTTGCGTTTTAATAATTTAGGAAAATTTGCGATATTATATTGCAAACTTTTGGTAATTAACACTGGTTATTGCGGTTAGGTGTGATTTATTCATCTTATACTTCCAAAATAGTTATCAGGTGGAGAACCACATTGTATAATGGAGTAAGTAACAGCTGTTTCAGTTTATTTCGAAACTTACCAGAAGCCTATACCCTCGATCCTACACATAATCAAAGTCAAGAGCAATAGTTCTCACAGTAAATAAAATGCGTTTAAAACAAAGTTACACGGAGGCTGTCATTAACTTCAGAAAATTTTAAGTACAACATGATCTTCAACCAATATCAACACATGAAACTTGTTTGGTATTCATAGATCATATTTTGCGGTCATAAGTTTAAAAAATCCATCTCAACTACCATATTGTCAATAAGAGTAGTCATCTAAACTTAAATCATCTTTCATCAAAAACATTAGCCCAACATTTATTTACATTGATACTTCATATTTACCTTATAAAATTCTGGTACGAATACAAATATATTCTAGGTAGATCAAATATAATAAAGAAATTCTGGAAAGTACAAAAGAGATAGAAGTGCTTTTCTTTGTGAGATTGGTTTTGTTTGAATACTGAACAATTGAACATTGTTAGTTTGTTATGTGAAATCAGAATGATTACTGACAACAAATTTTCATAAATAAATTTTATATTGAAGGCTTAATTATGTATGTTATAAAATATCTAGAAGTATTAGACTAATACAAACAAGTATTATTGAAAGTACTACTAATCTATGGAGTATCTTGTAAGTACTATAAAACAAAATTGAGAAAATAATTTATTGATCCGTAAAACGGAGTCAGAATGAATATATATATATATATATATATATATATATATATATATATATATATATTAAGAGAAGGGTTTTTGTGGATATTATAGTAAGTTCAATGGTTGAGATCATGGATGAATTGGAGCTAGACCACCGTCAAAATCCTGGAAGCACTGGACGGCCGTGTCGCCCTATTTTGGGACTCCTCAGCAGTGTGTATCTACGACCTCGCTTCGCGATATTCGAACCCAGGATCTATCAGTCTTGCGCGCGAGCGCTTAACCACTAGACCACTGAGCTGACCGGCATCCGACGGTGTTAATGTCTAACTTCAACCAGTCCACAAAATCGCCGGCCCAGTGGTCTAGTGCTTTCAGGTTTTCCATGATGGTCTAGCTTCAATTCACTCATGGTCTCAACCATTGACATATATATATGTTTCATTAAGACTAATTAAATAATTCTTTTTAGATACAGCATATATTCATATATCACAGTTGAATTTAATAATTTTTTTGATAGAATATATTACTGATTGCCTAATAAACTTTATTATATAACCTGAAGATTTAGTTTCTATGCCATGTCAGTTCCGTTTTTATTTTTGTTTTTAATTTTTACAGCAACACTAATTTTGGTGGGTAAAAAAATGGTGTACAGAATAAAATTAATTGATGCATATCAAACAATGAAGCATTCTGTAACTAGTAAATTTTTATTCTATGATGATCTTGTTAGAATACTTTCATTACGTGTGTAACTTTACCGTTTGATGACGTCTAGTAAGACTTTATTTTAAAGATTTATTGATTTTGAATAGGTTTTTCTTAATTATGTTAGTTTTCATTTTGAAAGTGTATTATTAACCCGCCAATAATATTGGACAACTGTCATGTTATATTGTGAATCTATTAAAGTTGGAAATTTAAACTATTGGATTCCAATTAATTAGATGCGATCTAAGAATAGGAAAGATACTAAGGTTTAAGGTTGGTCGGAAATTTCCTTTGAAATAAATAATAAATGAAGCCGAATAAACCTTGAAGGTTTCACTTGATATAATTATGGGTGATAAGATTTTGATGATTTTATATTTATTTAATAAAGTAATATAAAGCTAATTCCATCAAATCTTTGTCGATTTACACTGGAAACTACTTGAGAAATCGATAGTCTGTCTGCTTATTTGTTTCACTAATCTATATCTTTTCATAGGAGTTGCTAAAATTACAACTAAATACAGAAGTGACTAAAATTGGAAGCCTACTCTTTACTTATACCGACAGCATGTGCTAATAGGTAAATATGGTTTATCATGTAAGATACAAAGAAAGTTAGAATTAATTCGTCTTGGTTTTGTTTTCAACTGTTCAGGAGCTAACATATCACTTAAAGGCAAGGTTTATTTACTATAAACATGTATAATCTGTTTTGATATAAACTGATGCAAGATCTCTAAATTTAAACCTTGTATAGACTAAATTATTTGAAATTGCATAGCTGACGAATTGAATTAATTGGGATCTATTTCTTATATAATAATTTACTGTTTTTATTATTATTATAAAAATAAGCTTGGTTTTCAAATGATTATTATGATTTCACAATGTTGAATAAATTAAAAGACAACTTATTAATTTGAATGAGCATTGGTTACGTTAACTTTACCTTGGTAACAGCATATCTAACTGAGTAATATTACGTATGTCATCATTGTTTCCGTTTAGTTGTCTACTTTCATAAATCTTATCAATTCTTAGTACTTGACGTAATTTACTGAATGATTAGTTTTCTATACTTTTGTTGTAGTTGTTTTTATATTGATATATGAAGCAATTATAATCATCACGTTTATAGCCGATAGAGTCCAAATTTTTTTGTTTACGATGATTTATACTTAAAATTGAATATCGATTTTATTCATCTCACTGAGTCTGTGAACTGATATCACTGTGGATAACAGTTACTTACTTACGCCTGTTACTTTTCGTGAAGGAGCATAGGCTGCTCACCAGTATTCTCCATCCAAACCTGTCCTGGGCAATCCTTTCCAGATCCTTCCAGTTGTTAATCATCCTTTTCATATCTGCTTCTATTTTCCGACGTAATGTGTTCTTTGGCCTTCCTCTTTTCCGCTTTCCTTCAGGATTCCAAATTAGGGCTTGTCTCGTGATGCAGTTTGGTGATTTGCGTAATGTATGTACTATCCACCAATTCCATCGTCTTTTCCAAATTTCCTCTTCAGCTAGAAGCTGTTTTTAATGGTATCCGGTCAATGAATGTTGAGTATCTTGCGTAGACAACCATTTATAAATACTTGTACCTTCTTGATGGTGGTTGTTGTAGTTCTCTAAGTACTAAATTACTTTTTGTTTCACCTTCAAAACTAGACATTCTGCATTTCGTTTAACGTAGGCATATAGATTATTAGAATTTTTGAATTCCTCTAAAAAATCCTATCTACTTGCTGCTTTGCGAAAGCAAGTTTTTCAAATGAGTCTTCATTTGTATTTTATAATGGTTAAAAACTTCATACTCTCACAGGCTCTTAGTTTTCTTCATATGCATTTTTCATCATACTGATTTCAGAATATAATTCACTTATTGAATAGTTTGATACAAACAAGAGTATAATAGATTATTGTATCCAGTCTATCTGAAACGATGTTAGGATTTCCTCATCGTTTCAATAGGTCATATGAGGTATTAAGAAATAAATTCATTTTTAATATACATGTCATGTTACCTTAAATTAGTCTACCACAGAATTTATGCTATTGTTTAAGTCATAATCATACTTTTTTTCTAGAAAAAAACTCTGTTTTAACACTTAAGATTGTCCGATTGATAAATGTTTCAATGTTTCCTTTATTCACATCAATTCACTAAACAAACATATTTATGCTTAATTTGAAGCAAATTGACCATTCAACATATTCTGTTAGAGATTACTTTGTAAAATAGAATTTTAAAAGAAAACAATGACAGACGTTTATAGCCACTGGCATTTAACTTTAAATATCGTTATATATAAACTAAAAAATATATTTGTTTATAATAAACACTGTCTGGAATAAACAAGTAGTTTTTGTCAAATGTTGGTCCATTTATCCATATTTTAATGAAATGACACACAGGGAGTAATATTGTGGATTAATTGACATTTAGCAGCCATTATATATATATATATATATATATATATATATATATATATATATATACTAGGACGAAACGCCCGTCCAGTGCTTCCAGGTTTTCACGGATGTTCTAAAATTGATCTGATCATGAATTTAATGAAATTCAACAATTGCTACAATCTCTAAATGAAAATTATCATGTGTTCACTAGTGATTAGCCTCAAGATGTAACTCCCAGAGTTCTAGTGAGAAGCCATGACCAGTGG